CAAAGCGGGGAATAATCGCTGACCCTCATTTGCATCCCTAATGAGCTGCCATTTTTGCAGAAGAGGCGCTCGCGCCAGAAGGAGTGTCTACACTGCCCCTTCTTGCGCAAGAAAAACCCTCTTGTGCATTGCCGCTACGCCGATTATTTTCAGGAATAATGACATCGCGCAAGAGGGTTTTTCTTGCGCAAGAAGGGGCAGTGTAGACAGCTCCTTCTGGCGCAAGGGCCTCTTCTGCAAAACTTGCGGCTCATTAGGTATGCAAATGAGGCTCAGCGATTATTCCACGCTTAGCCTCATTTGCATATTTCTGGCGCAAGAAGCCGCCAGTGTAGACATAGCCATAGTGTCCAGTGCCTGGGGGCTCGGTGTATACATTGGCCCCGTCTGTCTGAGAGAGAAGAGGCAGAGAGACTCTGAATTTCCCTGATCCTGCCTTTAACATTTCTCCCTCTTGGTCCTTTTTCCCCACAGAGCAATGGCACTCAAGACCCAGGTGGCTACCTGTGCCATGCTTGTGTGCAGCAGCGTGTTGGCCCCTTGACACAGCTCGCCATTCCCCCTGAACTGGTCCAGGCCATGGAGGTCGTCGACGAAGTATTAGAAATCCCAGGGCACCTTGCGGTTCTCTATGACCTCTTCTGAAAGCAGGAGGGGGCTGTTTTTATGACGTCCTAGATCTGGCTCTGAAGGCTTGGAAGTGAGGAGGTCTGAGGCGAATACCTCTGTATTGCCGCTGATGTCCTTGGAGAAATGAAGTGGATGGACTTTGCATGGGCTGCTCAAGAGAAGAATAAGACACGAGCTGTCCATGAGGAGGCCTGGGGTTACCTCTGTGTGGCAAGGGGGAACCTCGGTTGACGTGCCTCTCGCTGTACAAACATGGACTGCGTATCTTGCACAACTCTCGCTGCGCTTGCACTTGGCCGATGTTCTTTCTGAACATTTGCTTACTTGGCCCTCTTGTTGCCCGTCATGGTGGTTCGTTCCCATCAGTGCTGGGCATCAGGGGATTGGCTTTTATGACCGCCCATCGTTTTTGCACTATTTAAGCTGATTCCAATGCATTCTGGTCATTGGGCAAAGGAGACAAAATGCCAAGCTAAGGGAGATGACACAAAAGTGTTTTATTACTAACAAAGGAACTCATTTCCGGAGTTAATTTTCATAGGGCGGATCTCATCTCTGGGGAGGAGTAGCTGACTACCCAGGCACCAAGTCGAGAACATCTTTAATGTAATCTTGGAGTTCCCCCCTCCCTATCTCTTCATGTGCCTCTTTCTCATCCTTGGTTCTCTCTCCCCTATACAACAACCTCTTCAAACAAAACAAAATCTGCTCATCAATTAAACCTCGGGAAGATGATTGTAGAGAAGAACCAGCGTGTCTTCTGCTGTGATCACGTGTAATAGAAGCCTTTTTGGATTAAACAGTTTTTTAATTAGAGGAAAAACTGTCTTTCATTGTATTTATTCACTAAAGATCCCAGGAAGGAGGAAGCCGTAATATACATTGCTTTAACAATGAAGTTAGCCCGGTATCCAAGGAAGGGAGACACAAGGTTATCCTTCCTCGGAACATACTTACTTCTGGGCTTTATACCCTAGGGTATGTCTACACTAGCCCCCTAGTTCGAACTAGGGAGGCTAATGTAGGCATTCGAAGTTGCAAATGAAGCCTGGGATTTAAATATCCCGGGCTTTGTTTGCATCTTCCCGGGCGCTGCCATTTTTAAATGTCCCTTAGTCTGAACTCCGTGCCCGCGGCGGCTACACGCGGCACAGAGTAGGTAGTTCGAATTAGGATCTCTAATTCGAACTACCCGTACACCTCGAGGTCCTAATTCGCAGGCACGGAGTTCTGACTAAGGGACATCTAAAAATGGCGGCGCCCAGGAAAATGCAAATGAAGCCCAGGATATTTAAATCCTGGGCTTCATTTGCAACTTCGAATGCCTACATTAGCCTTCCTAGTTTGAACTAGGGGGCTAGTGTAGCCATACCCCTAGAATTGGTACTAAGGATGTTAAAGAGTGGTTATTAATGGGCAGTAGGTTTAAAACAAATAAAAGGAAGTTCTTCACACAGCGCACAGTCAATCTGTGGAACTCCTTGCCTGAGGAGGTTGTGAAGGCTAGGACTGTAACAGGGTTAAAAAGAGAACTAGATAAATTCATGGAGGTTAAGTCCCTCAATGGCTATTAGCCAGGATGGGGAAGGGATGGTGTCGGATGGCAGGAGAGAGATCGCTTGATCATTACCTGTTCGGTTCACTCCCTCTGGGGCACCTGGCACTGGCCACTGTTGGCAGACAGGACACTGGGCTGGGTGGACCTTTGGTCTGACCCAGTCTGGCCGTTCTTACGTTATTTGGATAATCGTATAATCGATACAGTTTGTATCGACGACACTATTAGTCAATAAGGGGGCCGCTCTGCAGACAATCGCAGGGGGGGTAGCTCCTGGAGCCGGCTCGAGCCAGGACAGAGCAGCCCCGGCTCTGGACCGCTGCGGCTCTGCATTTGAAATGTAGTAAGAGCTACCCAGGGCTCTTGCTACTTTTGAAATGTAGAGCTGCAGCGCGGGTGGCTCCCAGAGCCTGTACCAGCTGGGACCGGCAGCTCTTACTCCATTTAAAATGCAGAGCCACAGCGGTCCCGGAGCTGGTGCAAACTGGGGCTGCTTGGTCTCGGCACGCACTGGACCTGGGGTTGCACCAGGATCAGCCCCTGTCAATAGCAGTCCCAGACTTTGTGGACAGGGGTTGCTGTGCCCACAGCAAGCCTCAGCCCACTGCAAGCAGAGGCTGCTTCACAGCAGCCTCTTACTCCATTTAAAATGCAGAGCCACAGCGGTCCCGGAGCTGGTGCAAACTGGGGCTGCTTGGTCTCGGCACGCACTGGACCTGGGGTTGCACCAGGATCAGCCCCTGTCAATAGCAGTCCCAGACTTTGTGGACAGGGGTTGCTGTGCCCACAGCAAGCCTCAGCCCACTGCAAGCAGAGGCTGCTTCACAGCAGCCTCCCCTATTCCCCCCCCC